ATAGCTGAGAAAGCTTATTTTACTTTTAAAGAACACTTCCTGAATAATATTCTAGAATTGTATGAGCTAAAAACTTGCTCTTGGGAACCAGCAGTTAGTGTAATGGCTATGTCACTGGACTCCCACGTAGTCGACTGCAAAACTCACGCTGGGCGTGTGTGCATGCGTGCCCAAGATTCCGAGAGGGTAATGGAGGAGAAGGGATTGCGGCGTGACCATCCCCCCTGGGGGGTGATTTCTTGCTTTCTGTCTCTATGTCTCTCTCTGTCTGTCTGGCGAGCGCACGCGCCCTATAGCAAAAACCCCTAAAAAAAAAAAACAAACAAAAAAACCTTGCTCTATTAGTTAGAGATTTGCTGCTAGAAACCAGTCACTCTCAGGCCAGAATCTTGACAGTTCATTTTACATGTCTATAAGTTATATGTTCTCAGTGAGAAAAGGAAACTACTACTCAAATATATTTTTAAAAATACTGAATGTCTATAGCCATAAGAATATAAAAGTATATGGGACTTTGTGTTTAACTCTGTGAGCTCAACTATTAGACAGTAACTTCTCTGGAAGCAACATTAACAAACAGTTAAGTTAGGGACATTATTTTTTTAAATTATTTATTTTATTTTATTTTATTTTATTTTATTTTAATTTGATCAGAGAGAGAGAGGGAAAGTGAGAAAGCAAGCCAATGGGTCTGGAACTCGAACCACACACAGTTAGTCATGTGGGAGTCCAGCACCTTAACCACTGTGCCACCTGCCGGTACCAACTTTAGGGACATTTTAAAGGAGAATGAATTACTGATATAGTATTATCAGATCCCCATTAACTGAATTCTGCAGTCTCTCTTGTCATGCAGTTAAACTGCCTAACAAATTTGCTGGTTTGGGGGAGGGGTGTGAGTGGAATGTCCAAATAGTTAAAAAGAAATGTAGTTAAGGAGGGGGAGGGTCCGTGGTGTAGTGGTAACGCACTGTCAAGAGAAGCCAGATCCCACAGGGTGACCACAGTTTGAATCATGAGCTCGTTCAGCCTGAAATGGGCATGAGCACAAATGTCCATGATATGGCAGGCTGGAGGACTGGAGGGAGAGAATTACAGCACGACTGGAACCTGTGGATAATGCTTATCTCTATTCCTTTTGTGCGCGTGTGTGCACACGTGTATGCTCACTCTATTATGAATAAAGAAAAAAGGAAGGACAAAAAATGTCTGGAAGTCCTGTTGTTTTTTTGTTTGTTTGTTTGTCTGTTTTTTTTTTTTTGAGAAGTTTTTGCTATAGGGCGCATGTGTTCACCAGAAAGAGAGAAACAGAGAGACAGAAAGCGAGAAATCACCCCCCCGGGGGGATGGCCATGCCACTCCCTTCTCTTCCATTCTCTTCTTGGGATCTTGGGCACTGCAGAACACACGTGCCTGGTGAGTTTAAGCCACCGGGACTGGGACTCGAACCGTGGTCAACTACATGGAAGTCCAGTGACGTAGCCATTACGGCATTTGCTGGTCCCTGGAAGTCCAATTTTAACTAAGTGAGCACACATACAGCCTCTCGGGAAAACCAGTAACTGATGACCAGATAAGATATTAAGAAATATGGTTTTAATAAAGAAAGTCTCAGCCACATTGAGTCTAAGCTCTAAAAAGACCTTCAAAAAGTAAAAGGCAGCCATTATAGTGGGTAAAAGTGTTACTGCTTGCTTTATTTGAAATAGCCTGAAGCTAGAAACAATGCAAATGTCTATCAAAAGAGAATGGATAGATAAATCATAGTACAACTGACCCTTGAACAAAACAAGTTTCAATGGCACTGATCCACTTATGTGCAGGTTAATTTCAGTAAATGTATTGTAAAACACAGTATAGTACAGTAAATATATCTTCTATTCCTTATGATTTCTTAATTTTTTCTCTAGCTTACTTTATTGTAAGTGTGCAGTATATAATACATATAACATATGAAATATGTGCAAAATGAATATGTCATTGGTAAGGCTTTTGATCAACAGTAGGCTATTAGTAGTTAAATTTTTGGTCAGTCAAAAGTTACACACATCTTCACAGAATTAGAAAAAAACAACCCTAAAATTTGTCTGGAATCATAAAAGATACCATATCACCAAAGAAATACTGTGCAAAAAGAATAAATTAGGAGGCATCTCATTCTCTGACCCCATGTATTACAAAGCTGTGATAATCAAAACAGCATGGTACTGGCACAAAAACAGGTATGTAGACCAATGGAACAGAATAGAGAACCCAGAAACACAGCCAACTGATTTTTGACAAAGGGCACAGGACTGTCCATTTGCTGAGATTTTCTTCAGCAAATGGTACTTGAAAAGCTGGATACCCATCTCCAGAAAAATGAAACTCAACCCCTATATCTCTCCATTAACAAAAATAAACTCAAATGGATCAAAGAGATAAACATAAAACCTCAAACTATACAACTACCAAGGGGATACACAGAGGAAACTCCTGGAGGCATCAGAGTAGGCAAAGACTTCTTAAATAAGGCCCCTTCCCAAAGTACAGGCAATAATCTTGAAAATAGACAAGTAGGTTAAAAAGCTTCTGCACAGGAAAAGAAATAATAGAGTGAAGAGGCAACCCTCAGAATGGGAGGGTTGCAAACTATGTCTCAGATAAGGGACTGGTAACCAGAATATACAGGGACTTAAGCAGGTAACCTGAAAAAAATGCTCAGTTCAATTAAAAGATGGCCAAATGAGCTGAATAGACAACTCTGCAAGGAAGACATATGAACAGCCAAAAAAGCATATGAAAAAATGTTCAACATCCCTTATAATAAGAGAGATACATATTAAAACCACAATGAGATATCCCTTAACCCCAGTCAGAATGGCTAAGATTAAAAAAATAAAGAATAATAAGTGCAGGTGAGGCTGTGGTGAAAAGGGAACACTCCTACACTGTTGATGGGAATGTAAACTAGTACAGCCACTGTGGAGAACAATATGGAGTTGCTTCAAAGACCTATGAATAGAACTACCATATGATCCAGCAATTCCACTCCTGGGTATCTACCTAAAGGGATAGGAAAACCCTCAGTCAGAAAACCACTTGCACATCCATGTTTATGGCAGCATTATTCACAATTGCTAAGACATGGAACCAACCCAAATATCTATGAACAGATGACTGGATTGAAAAAGTGTGGCAGGGTCGTCAGGTGGTGTGTTGGTTAAGAGCTCTGGACTCCCATTGTGGCTGACTGCAGTTCGAGTCCCAGACCCGATGACTTGGTTTCTCACTTGCTCTCTCTCTCTCTCTCTCTCTGGTCAAATTGAAATACATACATCCATACATACATACATAAAGTTGAATAAAATAATTCTTAAAAAAAGAAAGTGTGGCAAATACATTCTATGTAATACTACTCAGCCATAAAAAACAATGAAACCATGATATTTGATAGAAAGTGGATGACTATGGAAGATTTAATCCTAAGTGAAGCAAGCCAGAATACAAAAGAGAGGCAGTGTATGTCCTCACTTAACATGTAGCCAATGTCTGCACTTTATAGCAGAAACTGAAAGATTGGAAGGTATAAAAGCAGGGAGAATAAATGAAGATACTAGAAATCGTATGGGAGGAAGGTGGACAATGGTGAGCAGAACAGAGGGAATCAAGGGAGAAAAAAAAAGCAAACATTTAATGGACACAAATGGAAAATTATCTGTTAATGATAATGTGTATGGTAATATACTTAACTGGACTAACATGAAGTATACTCATGCCTGGATAGTCCATTTTGAATGCTGTAAAGATGTATAGTAAATGTAAAAAAATAAGAAAAAAGTTATATGCATATTTTTGACTGTGTGGGGGCATTGGTACCCCTAACTTCTTGTGTTATACTTCTGATACACACTACAACATCGAGGGCCAGCCAGACAGAAAAGAGTACATGCTGGGACCAGCAGATGGCATAATGGTTACATTGCTGGACTTTCGACTGTGGTTCAAGTCTTGGACCTGGAGACTTACAACTCTGGGCACATGTGCGTGCATGCCCAAAATCCCGAGAGGAGAATGAAGAAGGGATTGTGGTATGGTCATTCCCATTTGGGGTGATTTCTCGCTTTCTGTCTTCCTATCTCTGTCTCTCCAGTGAGCACATGCACCCTATAGCAAAAATATCTCTCATTAAAAAAAAGAGTACATGCTGTATTATTCCATCTATATGAAGTTCAAAAACAGATAAAACTAATATATAATTATAGAAATCAAAATAGTGCTAATTCTTGGGGGATAAAGATTGGAAAGTGGGTCTGAGGGAATCCTTCTGGTGTGCTCTATGTCTGTTTCTGGGATGTTCGATGTCTTGGTCTTAGCTGTGGTTATACATATACTACACACACACACACACACACACACACACACACACATATATATATATATATAGTTGTGGATACAGATATA